TCTACTTCTACGGGACCTTCACCGTTCACCGTGCTTCGGGAGTGCACCGTGCGCTGTTTTTTACTCCTTAATGGGCCGTCCTGGGCTAAACCCATAATTCACCCAGTCAAAATTATAAGGGAACTGTTCCTTTTTTTTTTTTTTTTTAAGTAAGTTTTTTTTTCTATAATTTTATAAATTTTATTTTTTGTCACTATATAAATAGAATATAAAGACTAAAAATAAAAGTATACAAAAACTAAAATGAATTATTTATATCTATATTGACTAAAAGGTAAGATTTGTAAGATTTTTTTTAAAAAAAGTAATTATACATTTTAATAATTTGTAGACATTTTTTAATATATTTTATTAGTTAAAATTTATTTTAAAAAGATTATAAAATTTTGTATGTCTTAGATTTTTTTTAATTAGATTTTATATTTTTAATAAATTTCAACTAATATGAAATAATGTGTTAAAATGTATTAAATTATAAGGAAAAATGAAATGTATAAAAGGTTGAATTGAATTGTGTTTTAAAAAAGTTGGCAACTTTTTCCAATCAAATATTTATTGCATGATAAGATAGATGGTTTTTTTGTTATGGAAGAAATATTTTATGATTAAAAATTTTATGATTAAAAATCTCAAGAGTATTGTAATGTAGTTAGTAGACTGAAACGGGTCGTTCCAAATTACTAAAACAAGGGTGATTTAGTAGTGCAGAACGGGTCGTTCCCAAAATAGAACGGACCATTCCAAACTACTAAATAAGTTTGTAAATCCTAGACTGAAATGGGTCGTTCCAAACGTGGTTGTTGTGAGTTAAATTTAACTCCAGAACGGGTCGTTCTAGTTTAGGAATGGGTCGTTCTAGACGTGCTAGAACGGAAACCACAGACCGTTCTGTATGTGAATTTTTCACGTATTAAAGGAGCCTAGAACGGGCTATTCTGGATTCGAAACGGGTCGTTCTGGCCACTCCTGCCTCTATAAATAGGCGTTGAGGACAAGAGAAAAGGGAAAGAAATAGAGAGAGGAAGGGAGAGAAGTTTAGAAAGAAGGACTCTGGTCCGCTAAGATGTTTACTTTTGGAGGATTGAAGTCCGAGAGTCGAGTTTTGGAGGAAATTTCTTCGTCTTCTCATTTATTGACTATTTTGAGCCAATTTTCAGGTAAGGAAAGCTAGGTTGTTTGGTGTTTGGTTGTATGTGAGTTTAGGAACTCATATGGGGTTGTATAATTACATTGAGATGTATGATGAGTATAAAGTGAAATGGAGAGATGCAAGTTGAGCACAGTGTTGTAAACTAAATGAGTAGTTGTGCCAAATAGAAAATGCGTTGAATACATGGTATGTTGCTAAAGTTGCTATATTTATGTGTGGATTATTTATATGCTGTGAAATATGATGAAATGATAATGTTGTGAGTTGTGAGAAGCATGATGTGAAATGTGTAGATGTGTTGAGATTTATACAAAATTTATTTGTAGACCATGTTACTAAGTTGTTAGATGAGAATTGTATGTTGTATTATCTGTTGAAAAGATACTAATTTGTGATGGTTGAGTTATAAATTGTGAATTTAACTATTGAGATGTTGAGTTGACTAAAGTTGACAAGAGCTAATAGTTGAGCTGTTGAGTTGATTGTGTTGTTTAAAGTTGAAATGAGATGTTGTGTTGTTAAAATGTGTTGTTAAACATTGTTGATGAGTTGTTGTGCTGATATACCATGTTGTTTAAGTTGAAAGTTGATTGAGATAATGAGTTGAAAAGTTGTGTGTTGTTTAAGTTGTTGAGCTGAGCTGTGCTGTGCTGTTGAGTTGTAAGTTGATTAAGCTGTGATGATAAGTTGTTGATCACTAGGACTAGGGGTGTGCAAAAAATCCAAATTGATCCAAACCGATCTATAACCGATCGATCCATATTAAAAAATCTGATATATTTTGAAAAAAAATCCGAACCGAACCACTTTATAAAATCGGTTCAATTATCCGATCTATTTTTACAAAGTGGATCGGTTCAGGTCGGTTTGGTTTTTTAAAAAAAATTGATCTATATATGAGTAAAAAGTGGATATCTGCACTGCACCAAACCGATCCAATTTAAAAAAAAAAACGATCTATATCAAACCGATCCCCTTTATAAAAAATGGATCGCTTAACCGATCCACTTTTATAAAACGGTTTGGTTCGGTTTGGATCGGTTTTTTGAAAAAAAAACCGATCCATGAACACCCTTAACTAGGACTAGGGGAGATGTTTTCGAAGTTGCTCATCTCATTGTGTGGATTGAGATAGTTGTGGTGCTCTGAAAGCCCAATTTGTTGAAAAATCCTCCTTGGGAAGTTGTCACTTGGAGTGGTCGTTGTGTTGTTCTCCTCTACGACTTAGTTAATCCCACGTGTGGGCAAGGTCGAGGCACACATGTATAAAGCGACCACGGTATAGGGGCAAGGTCGAGTTATACCGATTATAAAGAGATCACGGTATAGGGGCAAGGTCGAACTATACCGATTATAAAGCGATCACGATATAGGGGCAAGGTCGAACTATAGCGATTATAAAGCGACCATGGTATAGGGGCAAGGCCGAGCTATACCGATTACAAGAGGCCAATTTGAGTAAAGTACGAAGTCGGGAACTTAGTTCCTAACCGAGTACTATACTTCCTTGTTTAAGTGACAAAGTCTGAGAAACCGTTATCGTGTTATGGATTGATATCCAAATTTGTTGTTTACCTAGCAAGCCCAAAAAGGTTATGTGTTGTTGGTTCGGTAGGACCTAGCCACTTAGACTACTCACCACGTTGTAGGAGATCTCCGAGTTGAAATGCATGACGACGCATAAGTTGTTGATGAGTTGATTTGTTGTTGATACGAGTTGTATATATGTTGTTGTGTTGTTAAGCTATGATTGTGTTGTATGTTGACCCTGCTGAGGATGATGATAGTGTTGTTATGATGTAAGTTTCTTTTAAACATGTGTTGTTGAGAGATGTGTAATACATGTGTTGGTTGTTGTTATGATGAATATGGTAACTATTTCAAATGGTTTGTATAATAGTTGTGTTGAAGTATTGATCAGTGTTGATATGTTGAATATAAGTTGAAATGATGTTAAGATGTATAGTATATGTGTTGTTTGTCTTCTATGTCGGATGTGAAGATGATTATATAGTTGATGTGTTTCATATTTGTTTATTATGAGTTGTTTATTGTCTCTAGCTTACCCTTGCATGTTTACATGTGGTTTGGACTACGATGATCATACGTTGTATGGGAGCAGGGCAGAGATAGGCTAGGAGATAGTTGCTAGAGACCACAGGAAGTGCCTGGAGATGGATATTTTTTTGTAGGCTACCTTATAGTAGCATATTTTATTGTATATAACTGGTTGTTGTTGGTTGCTTGATTAGAAACATGTGTTGTAAATATTTTATTATACTATTTTAGTATATATATTCTAGTAGTGTGTAGTGTTGTTTCATAGTGTGACGGCCACGGCGGGTCGTTATAGTGTTAGTAACATATCCATCTTAACGCATTTTTTTATTAGTTAAAATTCTTTAAAGAATTATAAAATTATAAGAGAGATATCAAATAACATGTTGAATATTTACCAAAATAAAAAATTTGGATTTTGAATTCACTTAAATTTCAACCAAATAAGGAGAGTATATGTGAAAAGTGTGTTTCAAACATCTTTCAACAATTTTTTTTTTTAAAAATTCAATTAATTTTTCTAAACATGAGTTACAAAATTTGTGTGAAATAAACCATAAAGGAGTTAAAGAAAGAAATAGGCACAATGAGATTTTACATTGATTTATTTTAACTTTAAACTATATCCAATCATTTATATTTTACCGAGTGTTCCATTAACCTAATATTAAGTTATAAGTATGATACTTTCATACCTCAATTCTAAGTATTCTTCAATTTCTTATCTAAACAATACAACAAACATTTCTTATGCATTCTCTCTTTAGACTCCAAACACTTAATATTTTCAATACATATATATATATATATATATATACAAGCTTAATCGTTTAACTGCGAGTTTGTAGGTGGGTATGGGAAAAAAATATATTTATTTTGTAGATTGAGTTTATTTGACCCATTAAAAATGTGGATTTTGTAAGTTGGATTTTGAATTGGTTAGGTCAGTCTCTATATCCACCCTTGCTTAAAACTAGCTTCATATATATATATATATATATATATATATAAACTAGGCCATCAAGAACAAAGTTTAGTCCAATCCAATTCACTTTTCACACCTTGATCCATTAGATTAAAGTCAAGTTGGTCTAGGTGACCCATTTCACCTCTATTAAAGATTAATTTTTGAAAAAAAAATGGAAGAGAGTATATTAAGGATAAATTGTATTTTTTGTCATCATACAATATCAAATTCACGATTTTGACCTTCTAATTTTTAATTCTATAATTTTAATCTCTCAATTGTGTAAAATTTATCATTTTAATTTTATCGCTAGTTATTCTCCCATTAAATCATTAAAATTATAACATTAATTATAATCTAACATTAAATAAATGACATAATAATTAATATTTAATAATATTTATACTAAATTACCCTTTTAATCCCCATTTATTTATATACAAATAGAGATTAGAAGTGTTGTTTAACTTAAATATTATTAACTATTTAGTGTCATGTCATAATTAATGTTATAATTTAAAATGATCAATTGACAAACATTTAGTAGGTAAGGCCAAAATTATAAATTTTACAAAATTAAGAAAATTAAAATCACAATTAAATATTATAAAAAGACCAAAGTCACAAATAAAAAATGGGATGTGAAAAGCAATTGCATTCATTTAATTTGACAACATAAAAGTACCTTTTTTATATAATAATTCTACAAAAAAAATATTACTAGAGTAACTTCCCTGGTCCCTACCATATAATAGTACCTTATTTGATGATGAAAAATGTTTATTTAGTGTCAACATTCTATTATTTAAAATAATAAAAATAAAAATATATAATATCCTTTTACCCACAGAAAAAAATATAATATCTATAATTGATCACTAATCATTCAAGTTTATGGACATCTTTTAGTCTCTCTAGATATCTCTTGCCCTTCTTTCGTACATAAGCTTTTGGATCCAAATGTGCAACACAAAAACATCATAAAACTACACAAGTTGTCTATACCAATACGACATAAATCAATTCGGTTTCCATTTCACGTGGCCATATAAAACGAAACAAATGGGCATCGATGGATCACAAATTTAAAGTTGCTAATTCTAGACCATATACAATAAATCTTTTTTCTTTAATTAGGTTCCTCAATTGGCCTGGACTCAACGACATAAAGTAGGGGCCTTAGCAGCATCTAACCAAACTTAAAGCGTAATCATATTAGCTTCTTCTGTCTTTCTTTTCAACTTTGTCAGTACTAATATGAGTGAACTCATTAAATTCTCCCTTGTTCATCTTTTTTTCTCTTTTCTTACTTAATATCATATCCCTTCATTTAAAAGTTAGATAAAATTGATTTGAATTATTTAGCGTAATTATTTTATGTATCAAAATTAATTTCAACTAGATTTTACATTAGAGAAACTTAAACAATGTAGAGAATTAATTTTTTCTTAGTTTGAAAAAAAAAATATATCTTAATTGATTGGCCTTTTTATATCATGGCATATGATTGGAAAAGGACAAATGGGGTAAAATAAACAAATAAAACATTGCTGTTACGTGACGCAGTGGCATTCTCGTTCATGTCCACAAGAATTCGTCCAAGAAACATGCATATGATTCAAGATGACGAGTTGCTATGAAGACCACTAACTCAAACACCACTACCAAGCTCTATAACATTTATTTAAGAGACTAGGTACCATGTTCATATCTAAGCTTATGAAATAGCAAGAACTTTCTCAAAATGTGCAAAGGTGCAGAAGAAAAAAATGTTGCTCCGTTGGCTTCAACAAGAGGTTCAGCATCTTGTGACTTGTGCGGGTTGAAGGCTTCGTTGTATTGTCAAGCGGATAATGCGTATTTATGTGGAAAATGTGATAATTGGGTTCACAAAGCCAATGTTTTGGCCCTTAGACACGTAAGGTGCTTTTTGTGCAACACATGTCAGAACCTTACGCAGAGATATCTGATTGGAGTTTCGGTAGAGATCGTTCTTCCACCCACCGTAAGATGGATTGTGCAGAAACAGGACCTTCCTAACAACAACAATGACAGATATGTTGTTCAAGAACGATAAACAGCTCTTTCATGTTTCTCTAGTTTGCATCATTACTGATTTTAGACGATCTTCTTTTCTGGGTTTGTTTCTGTATGACAATATTATTCAGGAAAAAAAAAATGCTGCAACGAAGAGAGTTAGTGGAAATTAAGGTATAGGCACGTAATGTTTTAGATTTCCTATGACTTGTGTAGTACATGCAGATTTCAAATATATAATATCTATGGTTAATACAGAATAAAGAGACCAACTTAGTTGGGCTTAAGTGGTGAAGGACTCACCATACTTAATCAAGTGATACGAGATTCAATCTTGATTTTTACTAATACAGAAAACTCAAACTATAAATACTCATCTAATTAGTATATTTATCAAGTTTCTGAAAAAGATTAATCCTTATATTTGTTGAGGAAATACTCTTTGGTGTAATGACTTAATTGATAAATAATTTTTTGTTAAATATATGTTAGGAATTTAATATATGGTTCATAAATATAATTTAAGAAAAAAAAGAAGTTAATTTCTTAAATAAACTTGATCTAAATCAACCACCCATAACTGCAATTTTTCCCCTTTTAATTTTACTATAAAATAACACATTATTTTAAAAAAATATATAAATTTCATATCAATTAAAGAAAAAATCTAGATAAAATATATAAGTGTGGAATAATCTTGACAGTTTTATATAATTAAATTAGGTCTAAATATACGTTCTAAAATCATCCGAGATTCATTAAAAAGTCATATTATTTATCTGTATACAAAATCTAATAGTTTTGAAGGGAAAATCTAAAAATTTCATCAAATAAAAATAAAGACAAAACAAAATATATAAGTAAAGATAATTTTTATTTTACAAATCAAATTTTATGAGATTGAGTTAAATTTATAATTTATATTTTTTAAAATGAGTCATAAAATATATTATCTTAAATAACATTTCTTTTGATAGATCTAATATAAAATCCATTTCTAAACATAAAACAAATTTTACAAAATTAAATTAGATTCATAAATCTATAACTCACATTTCTTAAGATAAATCATAAAAAAAAGATTATCTTAAAATCACATTTCTTCTGATATATCTAAACATATAACCCAGTTCACATATTCAATTGAATTAATAAAAGAAAATTGTAACTGGGATTCAACCATAAAGTTTGTCACCCTTTATCTATTTATCAATCAAAGCAATCATTATTATTATTTTGATTTTTGGAATACTTCAAAAGACTCACATACACACATGCATGTTTATTTATCTTCACATCAATCACGAACAATCTATCATAAACTTTCAACAACTCTAAATATTATATTCATATATACACAAATCCTCAAGACATAATACGATGTTTCTCAATAATAAATCGGAACAATATAACTAACAAGCATTTTAATAAAAATTAACGAGATGATGATCTTATAAAGAGAAAAAAAGTGAAAAGAATAGAACTGCGTAAAGAGCTCTACAAAATCTTTCTCAACTGTTATAATTATAATTAAAAAATATATATTTCTAAATCCACCTACGTTTGACCTGATTAATAGAATGAGGCAAACATAACTCTTAAATAACCAAGTCAACAAGAGTAATTTATATAAAAAAAACTTTAATAAAACTAAAGTAATTTTCTAAACTTAATTAAATAAATATATTAACCTTTTAAAATATTCACACAAAATATACAACACAGTCTCATATTAGTTGGCTTAACGCTCTATTTAACTTAGTCTTTTAATATTTACTTTTCATCATTTCATGTTCATAATTTTATCCGCTATGTTACCTTTACTAAGATTCTTGGGTTGCTATTAGGTAGTTATGTCATATTAGTTAATCCTGAAAACACATATTACTTATTACTTCATTTTCTTTGACTATGTGAACCGTAATTATATAATTACTATTACCATATCATTATCATAATTATATTATTACTATTGATATATGGCAGTTATCACCACCATTCCTATTATTTTCCTAACCAACATATATCTTACCACCATATATAATGGATTATTGTCATCACCCCTTGTCTCATTGTTATCATTACCCTGCTAATCATTGTCATTGTTAGAACCTCCTATTACGACTATCATCAGTACCACCTCCCTCATCCATATCCATCATCACTCATCTTCAAATCGGTTGAAACATATATGGCCCACGAGCTTTGTACATGCTCATAGAAAAAAGGACATCTCTATCTTTCTCCAATAAACTTGGCTTCAACAATTTCTCAAACAAATCCAAATTAATAAATCATAAACTATTACTTTACTCATATAGAGATATATATAAACTTTTTATTTAAAAGTTGATTAAATTATAATTTTGATTTTTATGATATGTTTACAACTTATTTTGATCCTTTATTTTTTAAATGAATTAATTTTTCTTATGAACCAATTATTATGTTTAATTTTATGACATAATTTTAAACATTTTTATCTTATTCAATAAATTCATTTCATTAAATCCTCCTTCATAAATATTATTGAACTCAAATGATATTAGAAAAAAAAATATAAACATAATACAAATTATATGAAAATAAATTTAAATATAATTAAAAAATAATATGATAATAATTTTTTTAATAGCTTGTTAAACTCATTTTTACTCTATATCATCCTATCTATCACTTAGATACATAAATAAATAGAGAGATAATTTATTTATTCTAAAAATAAGTATACTTAAAATTATTTCACTCAATAATTTATATTTTATATTAAATTTTAATGATTTAATTATTAAATTAAAAGTTCTTAATACAAGAATTAAGTATGCAAAATTTACAATTTTAAAAATTATTTTATATTTTTTCAATAATTTAAATTAATAAATAATTATAAAATCATTTTATATATTGATTATAATTTATATAATGAAATATTAAATATTTTTTTTATTTTTTAATTTATAAACTTAATATATATATCAAGAACTTTTAATTTAAGAGTTAAATTTGATTTAGAATGTAAGTTAATAAATAAATAAATTTAGATAAATTTATTTTTAAATTGAGTATATATATAATATGAATGATTGAATGCAGTGCTACAAAATTCATATAATGAAAAAAAAAAATCAAAATCGTAATAAAAATGAAAAATATCACTATTTAAAAAGACTAAATTAACTTAAATTTAAGATTAAAATATTAAAAAAATTTAAAAAAATAAAAGACAAAAAGAAATCTTATCCTTTGAAATTTTAAAATAAAAAAAAAACAAAAAAAAAAAACATGGAAGATGAATACCGAAGATGTAGTCGTAACCTACGTTCCCAAAGCCCTAACACTAGCCTTAAAAGTTAAAACTCGATTGAGAGCATGGGTGAGTCGAGTCAAGTCTTTGTTGAAGAAACCTTTTGCGGTGGAGCTTCCCAAACTGCTTCTCTGTAAAGTGCCGCTTCTCGCACTTTTATCATTCAATCTTCCACATCAAGGTAAGGTTACCATATTCCTCACCAAATTTCACGAAACGAGACCAATTTCTTTATTTCCTTATTCAATTTCTTATCCTCTATTTTCTTTTCCACAATTTTTGCTCTTATTATGCCCTTCGCATTTTCTCAGCAACCACATCGTTGGCGCAATGTTCGGGAATATTGGATTTAGGGTTACGCCTTCTTCGAGCAGGAACTGATATTGAATTGACTATTCATAAATTCAATAATTGGCACGCGACGTGGTTGAACATGGTTGAACGAAAGCAGTTCAAGACCAAGTTATGTGTTCTGTATCAGAGAGGGCGCTGCAATCGCCATAATTGCTCCTTCGCGCATGGGAGTTCCGAGCTTCGACGATTCTCTGCCTCATATAGTGGTACAGTTTTCTACTTTGCTTGCTCATATAGTGATTTAATTTTATTGATATTATTGTTGTTATTCGTTGTTTAGTTGAGTCTATATCTTGTGAATTGAGGTTAGCGAGACCCCTTTGGGTATGTCTTGGTGTTTAGTTGATGGGTGTTGTGCTATTTGTTTGTTGGTGGTTTCGAGTAGCAGTTCCTTAGGTTCTGATTAGGAGTGTGACTTTGGAAGGGAACTGAACGGAGGACATTTTTTTCTTATTAAATTAAGAGGAACATGGTGTGGTATGCTTGGTAGATAACCATATCCCTTAAGCATGTGGTCTTCAGATGTTGGATCACTCCCTTAAATGAATTTAGTATCTCGAGAGATTAGTACTTTCTCATAAGGGATATTATAGGTTCACCAATTTTATTTTAGAGAATTATATACTGTTTATAAAATTAAACAAAATAATGGGAAATTACAATTATGTTAATCTATCATTTTATTTCTTTCCTTTTAGAAAATATCAAAATAAGGAATATTTTTTAGAAATGAAAATTTTGTCTTCTATTCCCTTTTCCTCCAAAATTTAACTGCTATGCATACTGGACAAGTGCATGGCTGGTTATAAGGTAAAAAAAACAATTCCCTAGTGAAGGAAGAAGCTTCTTTTCGATTTTGAAGGTGATGAGCTGTTTTATTTGAGTAGAACTTTATCTACTAGGAAACTGCATAGAAAAGAAAGAAATGATGGACAAATTGGTCCATTTTCCATTAGTTAGTCGTTAAATATCTTAGAGCTTTTTAAAACTGAAGGTTTTTGCATCGCAATTTATGTTTCTTGGAGTCTGCTTGGAAATTAAGGTGAGTCTTAACTATAAACACTGGATAATTATACAATACAGAAATTTTGAGAATGTTACATACTGTCTTTTAATTTATCACATCCATCCATGATCATCATTCTCCTACTCCTTGGTCATCATTTTCTTGATGATATGTCAGTACAGTTTATAGTAGTTCTTCTATTTATAAATAATCTCCTTGCCTCTATTTAATTGACTCTATCCCACCGATGTGGTAATACTAATTGTTCATATGTTACCTATTGATTTTATTTCATCCATGATCATGACCTTCTTCCAATTGTGTGGTTCTTTTCACCATCATTACTGCATGCTCATATAAGCTTGTTTACAACAACAGCTATAACTGCAAATTCACACCTATTAAATCATTCAATGAATAGTGTGATATCTTTACTAATTATAAGCGGGATTGCCCCATTTGGTATCCACATTTTTAGACAATCTTACTCTTATAACTATCCTTTTATAAATTATAATTTTTATTTATTCTTTCTGTAAATTTCACTTCATAACTGTCTGTATTTTTAATATCTACCCAGTATTATATAATTTTTATTATTTATTAATTTTTAAAAATAATTCACGGAGGCACAAAGTGCCTTTTGTACGCCAGTGCATAATAGCTGTAATTCAGTGATTAATTTGCACTTCGATTATTCAGTGGATTTTGAAGTATGACTGTTGTATGTATCGCATCGCATCTGCTTCAGTCACTTTCTAGCCTTTGTTTTCCTCCTAGGAATTTCCTCCAGTAACCCCACCCTTGAGTGCAGGGCAATGAATTAGAGCAGAGCATTTAATATTTATTTTCTAGCAAGTTTCATGTCCATCAAAGCTGTCTTCTTTTTTGTTATAATTTATTGACTATATATCCCATTTCATGCAATTTTATAGCTTTACCATTTCTGCTTTTAATACTTCCTTCCTATGCCAATATCGAGCTATGTTTCTTTTCTGAAATTTCATGTTCAAAACAATGTTGCAGAATGAAAAATTGACACAATTTTGAAGAGTTCACCATGTTTCTTCTTGCAGATATAGGTGACTTGTAGATATGTCCTTGGATTATTTGTAGCCCACTAGTCTTATGTCTTTCTTTGTTATTATATAACTTTTACCCATGTGATGTGCAGCTGTTTAAATGGATTAGAGTCCGAATTTCAATCCATATTTGTGATAACTTGCTGAACTTGCATGGAAAATTTGATTAATTATAAGAAAACAAAGCATTTCATGAAGAAAATATACTGAAAGAGAAATGTGTGAGAAAATAAATTTATAAATTATTTAGGAATGTGTTGTCACTTTCACAGCATTTCCTAACTAATTTCTTTCCCGACTTGTTTTATTGACACTGTTATTCAATATATTTAGCTGAATGCCATATTATTAAAACACTGAGATACTTATCTGATAGACTGGTCCATGTATCCATCGATTCTATGTAAGCAGATACAGAAGCTTAGATATGCAAAAAAAAAATGACATGTGGGATTAATGTCGGATTAATTTATTCAATGATAGGATGATCACAGTAACTTGTTGAGACTGTTGCATTTCCAGCAGAATGGATATTTCATTTTAGATGAGAGATTCTTCAGAAGACATTCTGCTGATTGGTTTATCTCAAAGGCGATGCTGGTGTTGTTCATGAAATTGTATTTTCTTGGCAATATTTTTTATGCTTGATTCCTTGAATCTGTGGAACTACAGTGTTACCTGAGATCATGATTAGGATTACGTGGATTGTCTGCTAGCATCATGTTTTCATCAGAAGCAAGTTCAGCAAATTTCCCAATCATTTCATTTAAAATTTCTACTGATTGAGTGTATGGAGCTTATGCTATTCCTTTTGGATGATACTTCTGGATATGATATGGCTGCATGGACACAGGCTAAATGGAATTATTAGTGGAGATGATGTCAGGAGAAATCAAATCTGATAGCTTGTTGATGGATTTGTATTTCTTAAGCTTCTTGGATATATCTCTACATTTGAGATTATATTTTATATCTTACTTCTCAACAAGTTGGGGATGTGAATGTTCATAATCCATTGCTACCTTGATTACACTTCAAAGTATAAGCTACATGCGTGGGTTTTTCTATATCTGTCATAATATGAGAGTGCTAGTTTCTATCAACGTTTTTGCTCTTACATGGGAGGCACTATTACTATTCATTATTATGTTTCTCTTGTTATTCCTGTTAATGGTAAGCTTGGTTTCATTATCATTTTATGCATTTTGTTTGTATCTTCTGGGACATTTGTTGTTTTTGATAATGGAGCTTTGTTTTTTATTTCAGGGAGGAGAGACTATTTAGGTAATGACTTGAGGGATAAACTTGACAGAAGGTTTTTATCTCCTCGAAGGTACTCACCAGCTCAAGATGCAAGAGGCCGCCAGACCATCCGTGGTCAGATACATGTTTATATTTCTTCTTGCTCCTTATTTTTAATATCACTTCTTAATTAGTTGTACCAGGGAGGTCCAGATTTTCTGTCATATGTGCTTTAATTTCCCTGATAGCAATTTTACATTTCATGTTATGAGACTGATGTCTTCAGTCTTCAAAACTTGAATGTGTCCAATCTAACCATTTTCTAGATTTTCATTGAACTTTAAGAAAGAGACATGACTTATTTTTCTCTACTATGTCTCCAATTTTCTATATGCTATGAAGTTATGCAGCTAACCTGTTTAGCTGGGCATAAATGGGAGTATGCATTTGTATGTTTTATTTCTTCATGCACAACAGCACAAGATTATGCATCTTTATGATCATACACACACACGCACACACCAAAGAGAGAGATATGCACATGCTGCTTTACCTAATGATTTTGTGCCTGTTCTCTTTCCTAATGTTCTATGAATTAATAATTGCAGAATACAGTCCTTCGAGGTCTTTGGAGAAGAAAAGGTACATTGACATGAGTTACTATTGATAATTTAGTACATATCCTTTAGTTTTATTGGCATTTATCATCTATTATTGTTCTTGAATGTAAATGTATATTAAAATATGCTATTTTTGAGGGATAAAACTGTATTATTAATTATTCTGAGAGAAAGGATTGGCATTGATTTGGGAGAGACAACCTTTGGAAAGCGAAGGGAAAATGGTGAAGGGTGGGGAGGGGGTGACTTTATGCATTGTGAATAATAGATTAGAGATAATCTGGTAAACAAGTTCAAAAGAAACATGCTGAGTATGCCAAAGGTGACTGTTTCTTTTGCCATGAATTTTTCTACTATGTAATTGTGAGTTGATGAATACGAAGTTTCCATTTTTTGCTGGCTTTTTTTGTATTAATCTTCACAATTATCCTTTATAGAAGTCACATGCTGTGGGCATGACAGCCTCCTTGTTTAAAGGTGTATTTTTATAATAAGAGATACAGGGTTAGCCAAGTTTAACATTTGGTAATATGAACTTGGAAAGGGAATTTCTTATCTTGAAATCCTATTCTCACTTTCCAGGCCTTCAATGGCTGGAATAAGCTTCTCTTGTAGCAAACTTGTATTTGTTAATATGTTATTTGATTTTGTTTCAGATCCTTATCCATATTTTAGTCTAAAATGAATATCATGAATTGCTGTTGCAGTGACAGAAGACATAGGAGAAATTTGAAAGTCTCAGATAGAGTTGAAGAAGGAAAATTGCTTCCATCTGGTTCTAGGAATTCTCTTGAGGAGCAGGTTTGGAAATTCTGTTCAATCTTTCTATTGCAAATATGTCTGGAAAATTCCCTTGTTTGTTATTTAAAATTGCATGTTTGTTTTTATACCTGGAACTGTGTGCAGCTGAAGAAAGTAGATTCAGATATCAACACTCTTAATAACCGAAAATTCCAGCTAGAGGTTAGTTTTAGTATATCTTGTAGTTGCATGTTCTCACATCATCCATGTGTTGTCTTTGTTAATTTGTCTGTTAAAAACATTGGTTATCTATTGCTTTGCGACTATTTTTTTCACAAGTGTACTGTGGACTTCCAAATCATTACCGAAGGGATTGTACCGAAACTAATTCCTTGATTTTGTCACATAATGATGCTTCTGACTTTTTAAGGATTTAACTAAGTTTTAGTTTTTAATATGTTCAGTTTTGTACTTTAAAATCAGAAGGTGTCTCAGCTTGTCATTTCTTGGTGGCAATAACTACCATTTGTTAATTAATGATCTTAGTGGCTTTTGGTGTATATCCTCTCTCACTCTATCTGTTTAGTGTGTTTTAAGCATAAGTTTTTATTTTTCTCTTGACTCCTGTAGGCTGTAGTGTAAATATATGCGCAGACTGTAAATATGTTATAGTTCTTTAAATAATGATACTTTAAAGCAGTATTGTAGTAGTTGTCCAGCTGCTATTTTTCAATATACAAAATATATGAAATATGATTTTCAAACAAATCTTTGTTTTTAGGTTTGATTCTGGTACTTCTTATCAAAGTATTGTTTCATATGATGTCTTGATAATATTAATGAAATTCACCTTCCAATCTGCTTCCCTAAATTAAATGGGGAAAAAATCCACCTTTTCTTGAGTTAATGCTAATTATGCTGTTGGAGATGCAATTGAATTCAAATCATGCTTTCTGATTTTTGATGTACAAATGCATATTTTTGTAGGTCTACCTTGATGAGAGTGTTCAAGAAGTGGATAGCCTTAATTCTAGAATTCAGGAACTTGAAGCTCAATTATGCCAAGAGGATGATGAGTGCAAAAGGTACTGGAATGTGTAGATATGCATATATTGATAATTTGTGTTAACGGTTATACCTTTCCATTACCTTTTGCATTTCTTGATAATGATATTCCCTTTCTCGGCATTTCTTTTTTCTTTATGCTCTCGGAAAATTCAGAATTACTTCAAGAATAAGGAAATTTGTTAGGGTGCACAATCATACGTCAAAGTTACAAGATGAACTGAAGAGGCAAGTTGCATTTTCTTTTTCCAATTTACTTTGCTTTGCAGACTTGTAGTATGCTTTAATGATTTTTGATGTATTTCCTTTCCCTTTATGTGTGTGTGTATTGAGGCATGACATTGTATTCAATTTTTTTGTTTCATCATTTTATGTATAGATCACAAGTCCGACTTCAAAGGTTTGGAGATCAGCTTGTCTCAGATATTTCTAGAATTGGTGCTAATGAAGAAGATTTAAGCATTGATATTGTAAGCAATGGTGAAAATACTAGTCTTTATCCAATCGTCAAACATAATGTGGAGCACAATGATGCATCTTCCCACAGAAAAAAGCTGCACATTGAACGAGATGTTGTGGAAGAGTTAAAACAAGGTAGTAGTTATGGAAAATATAGCGATGTTAGTTTTTGTTAACTGTTTCTGAATTCCAGAAATGTTATATTTGCTAAACAAAACATTAGGAGTCTCAAAATCAAAACTGAAAACATCTTTCAACTGTGTGTCGGGATGGCTATTTTCTTACAATCTATAACCAAGTATCTGTGACCTTTTTTATATTGTGAAGAATAATGTGGAGTTGACCACGAGCTTTTAAGGATGTTATTCAATGGTGTCATTTATAAATTGAAAAGTTTCATCCGGTCCTAGTGTGCTTGTTTCCTTTTAATATTCAAAAGAGCACAAATGTATGTGTGTATAGCATGTCCTAGTTCAGTTTTATTACATTAGTAGTGAATATTGTATTTTTGTTGGCTTTATGCTAAAGATGTGGCGTACTGCTTGTTACTGTAATTGATTGCCAAAATCACATGTTCATAATTTTGTCATTGATTTTGATTGTCTTGTGAAATGAATGGACCTGATAATTAAATTTGGATACTATTTTGATCATTAGCTTGCATTTCACATTCCTATAATTTCATATGGAGACAAGGACATTTGCTGTCAATTGTTGTAAATTTATTGCTGTGTTTTGCTCTGCAAATATGTTTCATTATTTTTTTTAATATGTTCACCAGTCTGCCGTTGTAACTGCAATTTTGTTATTCATGTCATTTGTAATGCACATGCAGATAGATCAAAAGATGGGCATTTGGCTGAAACAGCTAGAACTAGGAAGCGTTCTCGCTGGAATGTATCAGATCAATTGATTGATGAGTCCCTGGGAACCCCAGACAACGGAACTGAAGTTACTAGACCTCTAGATTCTGAAGGCAAGCACAAGAGAGGAGTAAGGAATTCTTCTAACAACATTTTTTCGGAAAACATACAAATTCAATTAATTCCATTATAGTTCTGCCACTACTGATACAATAAAAAATAAAGGTTATTTTAGTGCGTTGCATTTTTCATGGTTTTCTCTTCTGTCGGTGCCCTTTTTTTATTTCATACATCAAGTAGGTTATCTTATTATGCCTTGAATAAGATTTTTGAAATTGAATATTGTCATTAAAAATGACCTTTTCATTCTTCACCATCAATATGCAGTTGAAACAACCCAGGATTGAAGTGCCGTCAACCAGCATGGCCGCTCATGTGGTTGATGAGGACGTTGATATCGAACTTAATGATGGAACTGACATTGATGAAACTGCAAATAAGGTAAATGAGAATGGAGTGGCATATAAGGTGAAGAGTGCGCCACTTATGCTTCCCCCAGCTTTGATACCTCGTAGCAATTATTCACAGGTTAGTTCTTCTCGGGTGCATATTTTACATCCTTAAAGCACTTTGTAACAAACATTTTTAAGAAGGCACTTTAATTTCACGTGCAGTATGAGGGTAACGACGAGAATGTTGATGTGGATGGTTGATGAAGAGGCAGCAAGGGCACATGTGGTTTAGTCTAATTGATATTGGCTACTTCTAACTTTGTTTTGGTGTCTCGAAGGTAGTTGTCAAAAGGGTCAATATCTTGATCAGGAGTATTTGAAAATAGATGATAGTATGCAAGATAGTGGAACAAAAAACAAGACTTTCATTGGATCTATGGATACATTTTATATTGGTGTTTATAAATTTGAAAATATGCATACATACCATATTTATGGTTGTGGTGCTGAAGCTGATTATTTTCTGTTGGATTTCTTTATATGATTATAAATTCAATCCTCCATTGTCGACTTTCTTTTTTTGGTTTTACAGATCTAGTTATTGAATTTTTTTTTTTAAGTACCGCATCTTTAACATGCGATGTTCTACATCCCAGTTGTTTTTATTTTTTTTGGTCTTGTCATTCTGGTTCTCCATATCCAAAGAGACCGTTGAGAATTTTCGGTGATGAAATTTACATGCCAAGAGACCCTTTTCATTATTAAGGTTTTAGGGTTTGAGGCTTTGAGCGGTGTGAACTCTTGCTTCCAATTTATCTTTACAGGGGCAATGTAAGGGATGAAGCTGATGCAAGGAGATCCAATATTTGTTTTAATATCTTTTGGTGAAAAAAATCTAGGGCCTGTTTGATTTGATATAAAAAAGGTGGTTTCATACTTGATTTAAGAAAGATTACGAGATAACCCGTTTCATATTCAATTACATGTATTTCATCATGTAATGTGTTTATATTGTTCTAAAAATGTGTTCCTATTTTGAAATTAATGTTGCCATGTGCCTTGAAAAGACGCTAATATATATCACTTTTGTGTTGTGCTATTCATAGTCTTATTAAAATGAAGATGCAAAATTTAGTTCTAGTTTTAAAAGTAATAAATTTTGACTCTTCAAATTTTTTAGAATCAAAATTTAAAAATTAACGAATGTCAATTTGATAATATGATCATGATTTTGTATTTTTATAAATAGGAGAATTAAATGTCTTTATTTTCAAATAAGGATCAAAAGTACATATCAATAAAAATTGAAAGATTCAAATACAATTTAGTAAAAAAAATCACATATAACTCAGATTTTGTCTAGTTAAGAAAAAGCATTTCAAAAAAAAAAAAGAAAAAAGATTTCTATTAGTTAATGGCACACGTTTACACTTTTGGAATCAATTTGATAGCACTCCTCCTTGATTTATGTTCATCTCATCTGTAATTAATTTGTAAACAGAAATAGCATTACCTAATTATTGCTTTTTGCAATAAACAGACAAATTAATATTAAAATATGAATAAAAAAGGTGCTGGTATTGGAGAGAGAAAAAAAATGACTGAAATTTTTAGTTTTTATTTTTATTTTACAACAAAAGCAATTAAGTTATAACTCAGATTTGTGTAACCTACTCAAATTTTTTATTAACAAATTTATAGCGAGTTAGATTTTGATAAGAGAAAATCAGCAATATATTAAATAATATAAAGTAATTTTATACGTCATTTAACAACAAATAATTATTTATAGTAAATTATTAACTTTTATTGTAAGCAAGTAAAATCATATTTGATTAATTTATAGTTTGAAATTATTTTAAACTGTTAGTATATTATTATTAAATTTTTTATAAAATAATTTATTTTCTATGAATTGTGAATGCAAAAATTAAATTATTATTTTATTAAAAATTGAATATAATTTTAAAATAATTATTAGAATTTAATTTTTTTTTTTTTGAGGGGATTAGAATTTAATTTTTATGTATTGTCAATATAATTTTTTTTATATGACTAAGCAACAAAAATCATTGTTAATATAACTTTCAAAATAGTTGTTATAAAAGTCTAATAAATTTAAAATTTAATAATTGAATAACAATAACTTGTGGGAGAGAGGGGTCCACATTCCAACGCACACACACTATTCCCATTTCTCACTTTCACTGCATTCCTTCATGCTTCATCGGCTTATGGCTCACCTGGTCACTCGCACTCAACTCGCCCGAGTCACGCTGCTCATTCATCGCCACAAACCTTTCCTCACAACAATTTCCTCTCTCTCTCAATTCTCCACCAAAACCAGAGCCTGGACGGCTTCCAATCGCCGTCCGCCGACGCTCCCGGATGAGCTCTCCCGAAACGTGGTGTTCCTGTCGTGCAAGTCCGCCGCCAAAGGCGGCCTTTGCCACGTCTACTTGGTCGGCGTCACTCACCTGTCCGAGGTATTCGTTCGGTTCATCATGCATTGCACTGTGTTCAACCGGAACGAAAAATTAGTGTTTCTTTTTCTGTATTCATTTCAATTGGAATTGTTGTTGTGTCATTTTCGAAACGATGCATAGCCGTGTTTTGTCTTCAGTTGTTGTAATAATAAGTAGAGTTGGGGAATTGTAAAAGAGTTTAAAGTTTACGCTGAATTCTTGTTGCAGGAATCAACCAGACAAGTTCAAGCTATAGTGAAATTTCTGAAACCGCAGGTTTTATTTCTGTTTTGAACTCAGTAACACTTGGTTTTGTGAATCGATGATTCTCGTGATTGATTGTTTGTTCTTGATTTCATGACGTGCCTTCCTGGTTTTGTGGATTTTAAATGTTGAAACTCTATGGCTGGTCTTTGTTTGGTGCAGGTTGTCTTCCTAGAATTGTGCGAGAGTCGGGTGGGACTGCTTGCCCTTAAGAATCTTAAGGTTTCTATCCTTTAACTTGGTGCTTTTCTAATTATTGTATCGTTTGTCGGGAGTACCAGCCTCCGCCCCGCCCCCCTCTTTTGAACTGTTTTGTTCGAATTTGTAATTTATGTGCATAAGAGTATAACACATATGAGGAAATAAATTACACTTAGAGAATATCAGTATTCTTCTTTTCCAATTAGTTTCAGATGAGTGGACAGTTGGAAAGATAAAGTATCATATGGCTGAATACTTGCATGGCTTACTGGTGTTTTAACATCACACACAGAGGCTCGTTTACCTTGATTATTTAAACCTTTTATCTGTCAACTTATGAGTAATTTAATTTTCCTTTTACATGAAGGAGAAAATAATCATCTCTTTTAGTTTTAGCCATAAAATGATAATCGTAATTATTGTTGTCTAATGGCCTAGATGTTTTATTCAAACTTAGCATCAGCTATTTTCCTTGATTCCGTCATTACTTTTGGTTCTCATCCAGTTATCTGTTTTTTGTATGTTTATTTATTTTTTGCCTTCTTCCAGGTACCCACTACGGACGAAATGATTACAATGTTGAAGAAAAAACATAATATGTTTGAAGTAATTTATAGTTGTGTCCAAGCCGAGGCAGGTTTCTTTTTTCGAGAATCATATGTATCATCCTTATTTGATTTTCAATTATTAATATTTTCCCTTTTCTTATTTATTAATGCTATACTTATCTTATACCCTCCTTTTTCTCTCCTTAAAATTCTGACAGGTTGCTAGTAAGCGTGGGGTCATTCCTGGCTCTGAGTTTCGTGTGGCATATGAAGAAGCCATCAAGTATGGCGGCAGAGTAACACTTGGTGATCGCCCTATACAGGTTGGATGAGATTTTCTTTTCAAAGCATTGGAGATATATTGGATTGTACTAAATTAGTTTAATTCATGTAATTTTTATTTTCAACATTTACTATTTTAATATGTATGCTTTTTACTTGGTTTACTTGATGTTGAACCTTTTTGTTTGGGTTCTGATTTTGGTTGAGACAGATTACTTTGAGGAGAACATGGAGCAAGATGCCACTTTGGCATAAGACAAAATTGTTATGCTTTTTATTTTCTCTACCAGTTATTTTACCCATATCTCATGTTCTTAATAAGATGGTAAATTTCACAATCCTCATTCGCTAGTGATAAGTATGAATTGATTGTGTTTGTGAAGTTATCGTCTACATCCTAACTTGGGTTTGCTTTCTTTAGCTGAAGAAAAATGATGACAGTGACAGGCCAAATCTTCTTATTCGGGTAGCGAGTAAGGAGTTTCCAACTTTAATGGAGACTGTGGTGCATGAACGAGATCGGTAAGTCCAAGCACTTAGTTCAATTTGCAGTTTCATTTATTACTTCTGTTACCCAACAACTGCTTCCCTTATCCTTTAAAGAAAGCTTTGCTTAACACTTGTCACCCCAGTATGTTTCCTTCTAGGAGAGGGGTCCTGGTTGGAGGTTGGATATGTTTCTGGTCCTTACTTCTGATTATCTAAATCCAAATATCATGGAGGCTTGGACTTCTTACTCTGAGTGCATTCTTTATTTTAGAGCATATCATATGGAAAAACCTTTGAATTGATCGTACTGAGCAGATATCTTTTGTTTTTGGGTTGTGGAGGGGGGATATTGGGTCAGTTTGTTTAAACATACAAAAAGTAATTATAAAATAACGCATTTTGAAAAAGTAATTTTTTAATAACAAATAGAAGTTGCTTCTTAAAAAGAAACAGAAAACTGTTTATTTTTAAATTAAGTAGTTTAGACAACCACATAAAAAAATGCTTTTTTTTTTTTTTCAAGAAGTGTTTCCTTTTAGAAAAAAGTTTAAACTAATTGGTACATCATCTAGTTATGCCTTTTGACTAGTATACATGCATTGGTTGAGCTAAAGGACAAAAATATTAAATTAATGTCTTGGATAGGCTGTGCATTAGAAATGAAAAATAAAATAAATATTGGTAAATTTTATATTTTGAAGAAATTTAAAAGGGCGCTACTTGTCATCAGAGCATTTTGGGACATTAAATGAAATAGCTTATTTTCATATGGATGTGCAGTATATTGTAGTCTTTAGCATCATGAGGAACAAGCAATTCTCCAAAAAAAATATTTTCATTTTTTCTGATTTTAGTATATGTGGTGGTCTTGTTTGAATAAATTTATCCATAAATATTTGTAGAAGAAAAAAAATAAGTAGTTAAAATACATTTGAATTTGTCCTATAAAAATCGACTTATGCACCTTAGTTTCTAAAGAAGTTAAATGAGAGTTTTTTTTGATAAAAGTTAAGTATATATGTTGATTTTAGTTTATGGGAGAAACTCAATTTATTTTACCTTATTTTCTTCTAGAAGTGTTCACAGATTGGTTTACTCAATAAACCCTATGTATATCAATGAAAAGATTAGTGCATGCGCTTTTCCTCTATTACTTATGCTTAGAAGTGGTCGTATGATATTGAAGAACATGTTGCAACTTGAATAAAATGAAAACTGGCCATAGTTGACTAAAATAGAAGCCTCTGCCTTCTGCTGATGTTGAGGATGCTGATGCTAATCTAGTAACTATCTTTGGTATGTCATTATTCCTTTTGATAACTAGAGCGTCCTGGTAACTTCCATTATTCTACTGTCTCTGACCCCTTATATCCGGTTAAAACTAGACCATTTGGAGAGACTGTTAATGATTTTATAATACTACTTCAAAGGGTAGCATCGAGGGTGCCTTTGCTTTGTCAAGACTTTTTCTACAATTATGTACATATATATTGAGTTTATAAATTCTACATGATTTGACTTATGTTGCGTCTATCCAGGTATATGGCCACCACATTATTACAAGTGGCAAGTCGAAATAGCTTAGTTGTAGCTGTTGTTGGAAAGGGGCATCTACAGGGAATAAAGAAGCATTGGAAGAAAACTGTTTGGGTGTGTGAACATTTAGTTTTTTCTATTATATAAAATGGAATTTAGAAGTATTTTAGCAAAAAAAAAAAAAAACAAAAGGGGATCATTCAGAGCTACTACTTTACCGGTTCTTATTATTTTATTACTGTCTCAGATTTTCTTACCTTAATATTCACCTTACTGTTTTTCCGATGAAGGAGGATCTCATGTCAGTTCCATCTCCCAAACCAGCTGTATCTGCAATAAGAATCTTAACATCTGTCGGTGTTGCCGTGGCTGGGGTGGCTATAGTATCAGGCATCTATATTTCATGGAAGAAATGACTTTCTGGCATCCACAGGAACGTTTATCTAGGAATTGAAATATGTATCAGTTGAGTCAATCATCATCAAAGTTGATGGATAAGCGATTTAATCTTCTTTTTTTTTTCTTTTTTTAATGTCTCAAGAATTAAAATTTTCTTTTTAAATTTTTCCATGGAAATATTAGTGAAATCTTGGTCACTTAAACACTAAAGTGTTGCATATATATATACTCATTCCGATAGTTTTAACTGGATTCGCAAGAGGGATTGAAAATTTTGCAATTATAATTTCTTACTCGTGTTAGCGTATTTTATTGTTTAGAATAAAATCAAAAAGTGATCCCAAAACATCGCGAAGTATACAAATGGAAAAGAGATATCCCTACTCAATTCATCCTCAATCCACTAAAAAAGGGATTGGGTTAGGTTAACTGATCAGATACCTTTATATAATGGTATTTAGAAGAGTTTATGAAAATATATTTAGTTTATTTTTACTAGTAGAAAAAATAAGTTTTTTGTGCCTTAAAAAGTTAAAAAAATTAAAGAAAGATAATATTAGAGTGGTTGTGGGTTTTCTTTAGGGTTTAATGGTCCACTAAAAAGGAGAGGTCAAAATTAGTTATATCATCTAATATTTCCCTTATAATAAGTATGTATATAGAAGATAAGTGTTTCATTAGTTTGTAAATTTTATAAATCTAATGTGTTTATCTTTGAATCTCAACAAGGTACGGCATAAAATTTTGTCTATTTATTTTATTTTTTCTAATATAGCACTCATAAGAATTGTATGTAAAGGTCCTATTATATAAAATTGTCTGGTTGAGATCTCTTAATTATTTTTCTATCATTTGAGAAATAGGTTAATGTCATGTCAGTGATTATCTCTTTTGAATTATATGTTTGTGATGAAAATTATAATTGAATTTGATATAAAGAGTTTTACAATAACTTATGTGATATATTCAATAACTCATGTAGATTAATGGAGCTAGATCTATAGGCAGTAAAAAAGAGAGACTGCATTATTGCATTTACCACTTGCATTCATTCATCCATTCATGTTTCAATACCTTATGGCTCATGTTACTTAACCCACTCGTCTCATTTCCAAACCTCAACAACTTTTTCTTCTCCATCCCAACTCTCAACTGCATTTACCTTATGCATTTATACATTTGGAGAAAGGCATTCACTCATTTGTAATAATCAATATTCTTAAGTTCAAAGAGTTAGGTGGAAAAAATCGGATGGTGGGAGGTGGGGAAGAGAGCTCTCCGTTCTCGATTCTCCTATATCTGGATTCTTTAGAACCACGAGAATCCTTAATTAGAATGAAATTCCAACTTAGCACCTTTTAATTGAGATTTTGAGAAGAGTTGCTCTTTAGAGAGCCCACTACGATGAAAGTTGTAAGTTGTGTTTGAGGGGAGTTATTATTTATCATTGACCTTACGGTAGAATCAATTGAGGCCTTAGAGACAATGGCTTGTCCTATGGCGAATGTTGAACCTTACAGCATTTTAATCTTTTTGAGATGACAGGAGAATCAAGATTTCATTTCTTTGACTCTTCCTTTTACTCATTCCACCTTTTGTGGTGACAAGGATTTAAGAGAATATTTTTCTATCACAATATTTCATGTTAATGGGTATATATATAACCCCTTAAAACTACAACTCCCATCAAATAATAGTTATCTATAGAAATTTCTTCATTTAACCCGTTTAAAATTTATCTTAATTATTTATATTTTAGTCCATTAATAAGTCATTGTTGATCAAAATCAATTAAAGCTCTTATTTGATAATTACAAATGTAAATGTATGTATTTGTATAAGCCTCTTGGTGTTAAGAGTGCAACCTGTAATTTGTCTTGTATGTTTTTGCTTTGTGTGTATTTAACTTTGTACTTAGGTGCTAAATCATTAGTTAGTTTGTTAATCTTCATATAAGTTAATGATTGATGATTTAAATTAATAATTTTGAAATATAAAAATAATTTGAAAAAGATCTAGAGTGAAAAATCAAAGTATTAACTTTTAAGTCAAAATAATTGATTATCTTTAGCTTTAATCAATTATTTATCCTATTTTCAAGTAATATGAAAATAATTGTAGAAATAATTGATTATCTGACAAAATAATCAATTATTTCATACTGAATTTATGGAATAATCGATTTTTCATCAAAATAATTGATTAAATTGTTCTTAGTGAGTTCTCAAATTTGCGAAGAACAAAGTCATCGATTATTCATCAAAATAATTAATTATTTCATAAAAAAACTCTATATAACGTTTTTCATTTTTAGAACTTAAAAGAACTAATATTTTATGTTCTCTAAACAACTGAGAGAGCTTCTGAGTTAAGTTTTCTTAATAAAAGAGATGTGTTATCCTTTATGAGTTCTTCTATCATGAATCAAGAGAATTGAATCATCATCATCATCAATCTACATGGAGAGTTTGGACTTAATGGTTTAGTTTTTCACCTATTCAATTTGTTCTGTACATCAGGTGATATCTTTCTGAATTATTTCTTTGTTATTGAGTAGGTTTCTTAAGGTAGAAATGTTTCTTATAGTGGATATCTACAAGGGTTACTTCCTGAGATTCAAAAAGTGGGTTTCTTTAATTTTTTTTAAAGTGAATTGCATGTGATTTATGATTGTAAACCTCTATATATTAAGGATTAGTGGAATACTCAATCGAGTTGATTGAGGAATGGATGTAGGTCATAATGATGGTGGTTGAACCAATATAAATCTTTGTGCAAGTTTATCTTATCCTTACTTGAATTTTACTTGCTTGTTTAATTTGAATACATGCTCATTAATATATGTATTGTATCAAAAACATAGGATGTAGGGTATATTGATTTAGACTTGCATGGTTTAATCTTCAATGCACTTATTCCAATAAGGTTAAGATCAATTGATTAATTTGAAAATATTAAGAAAAGTTTTTATCTGAGATAGGTTTTAATAAGAATTTTTTTTATAAATCTAATTCAACTCCCACCTCTTGGATTAGCCAACTTTTCTAACTATCACATGTCTCTGACATGAGACATTAAAACCTTACATTCTCTCACTTGATTTCACCAAGCGCCACTCTATTCACGCCCAACATGATCTTGATAACGAGTGTTCTTTTGTTATTCTTGTGCCTAAACTCGACATGGATTAGCTTGTGTTGGGCATCAATTTTATTATGTGGAATGTTTGGTTCATGTTATCTATCTTTTTTTGAGGGTTTGAACATCAACTTTCACCTTTGGATGAGTTTGATGGTCTTTGAAGTGTTACTAGTGTATCATTTATCATCTTGAAGCTTCTTCTTGGGTCTCCATTTTTTGTGAATCACTTTATTTTTTTTTTTTTTTTTTGTGTTCTTTGTGACAATGAAGAGCTAATTTCATCCTTGTTGGGGCTAAATGTAACTAACCAAATTCATGTAACTTATATTTATTGTTGTTATTATTATTGTTATTATTATTTATTATTATTATTATTATTATTATTATATATGTCTTTCCATTTTAATGTTAATATTTTGTTTCCACTTTTAATACTTATTGTGGAGTGATTAACCATAGCTTGATATTTGATTTATTAGGTATTGAAAAATATCTTTTGTAATCTTAAATTAGAACAAAATACTTAATGAAGTTTTTGTAATCTTAAATTAGAAAAAAAATACTTAATGAAGTTTATATTTAGGAATAGAACATGACTTATTAGTTTTCTTAAACAATTTTTTATCAATGCAAGTTTTTTTATTAAGTATTCAAGAGATTGATTCTTAATAGAGAAACTTAGAGTCTTTCTTCTAAGGAATTTGGGTTTGAGTAAACTAGTGATTTAATATTAACATTAAATGTGAAAGAAGGTTTTAATGTTTTAAATGCATGAGAGTGAGATTCGGTGAATTTGAATCACAACATTAACATATCATATCATTTCTCTTCGAAATTGCCTTCTAAGTATTTGAAAAATACCAAAAAGAACTAATGTCAATTAATGGAATATTCTTTTATAAACTAATGTCAATTAATGGAATATCCTTTAGTCTAAATTAGTTATTGAATGAATTTTTTATCGTGTATTACACAAGTTTTTTAGGAGACGATATCTACTTATGATCAATTATTTGTGTGACTTTAGTGCATTTGCCAAAATCACCTAATAACTCCTTCTCAAAGGGCAGGTCACAACTACTGGGATAAGAGACTTAGTTAGAAAGTTGATTAATTCAATTAATGATATTAAAATTGTCAATTTAAACTATTTTTTCAAAATTATTTATAATATTTTTAAAATTAACTATTTCTCATTCTAGTTTTTTTTCCACCAAAATAATCAATTTAAAAGTGCCCGCATCTGCTTCAGTCACTTTCTAGCCTTTGTTTTCCTCCTAGGAATTTCCTCTAGTAACCCCACCCTTGAGTGCATGGCAATGAATTAGAGCAGAGCATTTAATATTTATTTTCTAGCAAATTTCTTGTCCATCAAAGCTGTCTTCTTTTTTGTTATAATTTATTGACTATATCCCATTTCATGCAATTTTATAGCTTTACCATTTCTGTTTTTAACACTTCCTTCCTATGCCAATATCGAGCTATGTTTCTTTTCTGAAATTCCGTGTTCAAAACAATGTTGCAGAATGAAAAATTGACACAATTTTGAAGAGTTCGCCATGTTTCTTCTTGCAGATATAGGTGACTTGTAGATATGTCCTTGGATTATTTGTAGCCCACTAGTCTTATGTCTTTCTTTGTTATCATATAACTTTTACCCATGTCATGTGCAGCTGTTTAAATGGATTAGAGTCTGAATTTCAATCCATATTTGTGATATCATGCTCAACTTGCATGGAAAATTTGATTAATTATAAGAAAACAAAGCATTTCATGAAGAAAATATACTGAAAGAGAAATGTGTGAGAAAATAAATTTATAAATTGTTTAGGGATGTGTTGTCACTTTCACATCATTTCCTAACTATTTTCTTACACTCCCGACTTGTTTTATTGACACTGTTATTCAATATATTTAGCTGAATGCCATATTATTAAAACACTGAGATACTTATCTGATAGACTGGTCCATATATCCATCGATTCTATGTAAGCACTAAGCAGATACAGAAGCGCTTAGATATGCAAAAACAAATGGCATGTGGGATTAATGTCAGATTAATTTATTCAATGATAGGATGATCACAGTAACTAGTTGAGACTGTTGCATTTCCAGCAGAATGGATATTTCATTTTAGATGAGAGATTCTTCAGAAGACATTCTGCTGATTGGTTTATCTCAAAGGCGATGCTGGTGTTGTTCATGAAATTGTATTTTCTTGGCAATATTTTTTATGCTTGATTCCTTGAATCTGTGGAACTACAGTGTTACCTGAGATCATGATTAGGATTACGTGGATTGTCTGCTAGCATCATGTTTTCATCAGAAGCAAGTTCAGCAAATTTCCCAATCATTTCATTTAAAATTTCTACTGATTGAGTGTATGGAGCTTATGCTATTCCTTTTGGATGATACTTCTGGATATGATATGGCTGCATGGACACAGGCTAATGCAAGGTGATCCAATATTTGTTTTACTATCTTTTGGTGAAAAAAATCTAGGACCTGTTTGATTTGATATAAAAAAAAATAAAAAAAAGTGGTTATAAATAATAGAAATATAATTGTTTCATACTTGATTTAAGAAAGATTACGAGAGAACACAAATTTAGTTGTTTCATAGTCAATTACATGTATTTCATCATGTAATGTGTTTGTAAGATATACTGTAGTTTTAAAAATGTGTTCCTATTTTGAAATTAATGTTGCCATATGCCTTGAAAGACGCTAATATATATCACTTTTGTGCTGTGCTATTCGTAATCTATTAAAATGAAGATGCAAAATTTAGATCTAGTTTTAAAAGTAAGAGATTTTGACTCTTAAAATTTTTGGAATCAAAATTTAAAAATTAAGGAATGTTAATTTGATAATATGATCATGATTTTGTTTTTTTTCTAAATAGGAGAATTAAATGTCTTTATTTTCAAAGGATCAAAAGTACATATCAACAAAAATTGAAAGATTAAAATACAATTTAGTAAAAAAAATCATATATAATTCAGATTTTGTCTAGTTAAGAAAAAGCATTTCAAATATAAAAAAAAAAGATTTGTATTAGTTAATGGCACATGTTTACACTTTTGGAATCAATTTGATAGCACTCCTCCTTGATTTATGTTCATCTCATCTGTAATTAATTTGTAAACAGAAATAGCATTACCTAATTATTGCTTTTTGCAATAAACAGACAAATTAATATTAAAATATGAATAAAAGAGGTGCTGGTATTGGAGAGAGAAAAAAAATGACCGAAATTGTTTAGTTTTTATTTTTATTTTACAACAAAAGCAATTAATTTATAACTTGGATTTTGTGTAACCTACTCAAACTTTTTATTAACAAATTTTTAGCGGGTTAGATTTTGATAAGAGAAAATCAGCAACATATTAAATAATATAAAGTAATTTTATACGTCATTTAACAACAAATAATTATTTATAGTAAATTATTAACTTTTATTATAAGAAAGTAAAAATCATTTGATTAATTTACAGTTTAAAATTATTTAAAACTGTTAGTATATTATTATTAAATTTTTTTATAAAATAACTTATTTTCTATGAATTGTGAATACAAAAATTAAATTATTATTTTATTAAAAATTGAATATAATTTTAAAATAATTATTGGAATTTAATTTTTATGTATTGTCAAAATAATTTCTTTTATATCACTAAGCAACAAATATCATTGTTAATATAACTTTCAAAATATTTGTTATAAAATTCTAATAAATTTAAATTTTAATAATTGAATACTATGATATTATGAATGTAAAATAATTTTATATTATTAATCAATCATAAATTACTATTTATATGATTTTAAGATAATTATTATAAAAATTAACAAATTTATTATTATATATAATTAGATTAGATGATACATTATCAACATA